CTAATCTTTTCCATTTGTACTTTATGCTGATGTTGTACTCTCTCACTTTGTTCTTCTTGCCACTGTTGCTAACTTTCCTGTAGTTGATGGAGACTTTCTTCCTGTTTCCTTGCTGGTTCCAGTTTCCACTGGTGCTGGTTTTTTACCACTGCTGTAGTCTCTCTTCTTTTTTGATCTTTCTCCTCCAACCACTGCTGTAGTCTCTCTTCTTGTTTATTTTCTTTCTTCTCCAACCACTGCTGTAGTCTCTCTTTTTGCTTATTTTCTTTTTCCTCCAACAACTGCCATAATCTCTCTTCTTATTTCTTTTCTTTCTCCTCCAACCACTACTGTAGTCTCTCTTCTTGTTTCTTTTCTTTCTTCTCCATGATGAAACTATTGCTTCTAATATGATATTTAATCATTCCTCTTCAACTTCTATCTTCTACCCATGTATCTTTAATATCATTGTCACCACTGTATCCTCTCTTCTTTATTAATGTATTTGAGGCTTTGCTTATTTTGTAGTTACACTATTCATTCTCTTCTACTGTCCTTTAACTCCAAGATAATATTAAGTTTTTCATTTTCACTTTTTTATCAGTGTAGTCTTTCTTCTTACATGAAATCTGTTACTTGCCACTTAATAATTCATTCCTTCAACTATACCATTTCATTAACTATTCTTTTTTACTCTTCTGAATAATCCACCCACAAAATTATCTTTAATGGGTAACACAAAGGTCCTATATCTTTTTTACTTAAGGTATACTTAAAGTAAAAAAAAACAACATTCTCATAAATAAAAATAAATCAATACACCTAATGTTTAATTGTTTATAGGTGATTAAAATCAGCACTATAAAACAATAATGAAGCTACCAAAAAAATATAAAAGAAAAAAAAGAGTACCTTCAAATTCAAAATGCCCAGGATAGCATGTTGTTAAAAAAAAGAAATATGGTAATTAGCAATCTGTGAGATGTACTTTGATCAGAAAGAGGATGCCTTTATGAGGTCTCTTCTTCCAGTTCTAAATACAAATTATCATTCTGCACAAATGAGAGCTTCTTGTGAGGGCAATGATACCGTTTTACTATCTCTCCTTCTTTCATAAATTACCAACCTGATGAAGGACTCAGGGCTGAAATAATAATCATGAAATCATGAAAAAATAGCAAGAGAAATCCAGAGAAAACTCATTCCACACAATAAGCCTTTCTATATAAATGTTTTGCCGTCTGTTTTCTAAGTTTTGATGTAGTTCTAACTAAATTTTCTTGACACAGACTAGCCATTCTCATTTTATTCAAGGAAACATCTTATTTTAATTTTCTGCATTAATAGCATTTATTAGAACTTAATTTTATCAACATGTCCTGAGACACATAACTTCTGTAGTGTTGTAATTCTCAAAGAAAATTGATTATACAGTTTTATATCATGATACATTAATTCAATGAAAATTTTGTTACAATTACATGTGAAATAAATCAATGAAAATATTGTTACAATTACAGGTGAAATAATTCAATGAAAATATTGTTACAATTACAGGTGAAATAATTCAATGAAAATATTGTTAGAATTACAGGTGAAATACTTCATTGAAAATATTGTTACAATTACAGGTGAAATAAATCAATGAAAATATTGTTACAATTACAGGTGAAATAATTCAATGAAAATATTGTTACAATTACAGATGAAATAATTCCTTGAAAATATTGTTACAATTACAGATGAAATAATTCCTTGAAAATATTGTTATAATTAGAGATGAAATAATTCCTTGAAAATATTGTTACAATTACAGATGATATACTTCCTTGAAAATATTATTACAATTACAGATGATATACTTCCTTGAAAATATTGTTACAATTATAAATGATATAATTCCTTGAAAATATTGTTACAATTACATATGAAATAAATCTTGAAAATATTGTTATAATTACAGATGAAATAATTCCTTGAAAATATTGTTAAAATAACAAATAATCTTTCATTAATAAAAATAATGATTTTATTTCTCATAACAACTTTCACAAATAATGATGGTCAGCTGTTCATTTCAACAGTCTTCTTGGATTATCTGTTATATAAAACAAGGAGGTTCTTTTACATGCATAACTTATGATTACAAATAAAAAAATTCTATGAGGTAATCACAACTCATATAAAATAAAACATCTTAGCTGTGAATTATAACTTACTCTTCTCAGATATTTACCTTGAAGGAAAAATTAAATGAAAAAATGTATCATTATTCAAAATACTTTGTATAACCTACACTGCTTGCCAACTAATATACTTTATTCATCACTTGTATAACTTATGCTGCTTGTCAACTAATATACTATATAAGTCACTTCTATAACTTTCTCTGCTTGGCAACTAATATACTGTATTAGTCATGTGTATAACTTATGCTGCTTGCCAACTAATATACTGTATTAGTCACTTGTATAACTTACGCTGCTTTCTAACTAATATACTGTATTAGTCATGTGTATAACTTATGCTGCTTTCCAACTAATATACTGTATTAGTCACTTGCATAACTTACGCTGCTTTCCAACTAATATACAGTATTAGTCACTTGTATAACTGACGCTGCTTGCCAACTAATATATTGTATTGGTTACTAGTATATCTTACGCTGCTTGCCAACTACTATACTGTATTAGTCATCTCTATAACTTACACTGCTTGCCAACTAATATACTGTATTAGTCACCTATATTACTTACGCTGCTTGTAAACTAATATACAGTATTAAAATTTTATATTTCATTTCAAATATGGTAGACTCAAGCTCAAGATATCACAATGGGATTTTTTTAATACAGGAAAAATACTTATATGGAGAATAAAGGAGCCAACTTATTATTTACATGATCAAACAACATTAATGTAAGACAAAAAATCAAATATTTTAACAGTAAAAGATCATAAATTGTGAATGGAAAAATATCATTAAAAACTATAGTAAATATTGTTATTATCTTTATAGAGTAAGTGTAAAATATATTAATTCTGGTATAAATCAGTTTAAATAAAGCAAAGTGATGCTTGTTTGTCATATTGTTTATACAACCTACATTTTTAAATCCTTATATGTTTCTAACATCAAACAAGCTGTCCTTAAAGCAAATGGGAGTGATGTCACATCCTGATGCCACCTAGTGAGAACAAATTCCATAATTGAAATTAAAACAAAATTAACAATGAATATTAGTGGACATAAAACGTGGTAAAGTGAAAGCTGTATCTTTACCAACATACTCTTTTAGACAGATTATATTTCAAGTATATACATGCTTTCTTTATGTTGGTGTTTATTGTTATTTTTATGAAAATCAAAAATATTTTTAATGTGGAATCTGATCCATCTTCTAAACAATGCAAACACAATTCACTACTTCAACAAATCAGTTTATAATCACTACATCAACAAATCAGTTTATATTCACTATGTTAACAAATGTATATGCAATACACTAAGTATATAAAATAAAGCTATGACTAGTAATGATTACTTATGAATATTATACTATGTATATACAATAAAGTTATGACTAGTAATGATGACTTATGAATATTACACTATGTATATACAATAAAATTATGACTATTAATGATGACTTATGAATATTACACTATGTACATACAATAAAGTTATGACTAGTGATGATGACTTATGAATATTACACTATGTACATACAATAAAGTTATGACTAGTAATGATGACTTATGAATATTACACTATGTATATACAATAAAGCTATGACTAGTAATGATGATTTATGAATATTACACTATGTATATACAATAAAGCTATGACTAGTAATGATGATTTATGAATATTACACTATGTATATACAATAAAGTTATGACTAGTAATGATGACTTATGAATATTACACTATGTATATACAATAAAATTATGACTAGTAATTATGAATAATGGTAATTATACCTTCCAGATTCCAGATCCTTTGATGGATTCAAAACCACTGAGGCTGCACTACAAAGTTAAAGAATCATTGAACCACTCATGTTTATTGATCTTTCATTGACAAATATAAACAGTTAAATCTACCATATGGAAGTTCTTATTCTTACTTTTTATCATAGCTAAATGTTTACCAAAAACAATATTATGTCTTTTAAAATTCAAATATTTTAATTTAATTTCTCTATTAACAGCTGGTAAGCTTATAATAGCATTGAAATAACATCATGCAATTCATATGAATTTACGTACAAACATAAAAATAACTTTTAATAAATAACTACACAGAGGTGATTGGTTTTTGGACCATATTTACAAATTAGTGACAAATCAGACAAAACATTAACAATACAGAGACATGATACAGTAAAAGTAACTTAATCTCTTCTAACATACAAAGCATTAACAATACAGAAACATGATATAGTACAAGTAACTTAATCTGTTCTAACATACAAAACACTAACATTACAGAAACATGATACAGTACAAATAACTCGCATCTGTTCTAGCATACAAAACACTAACAATACAGAAACATGATACAGTACAAGTAACTTAATCTGTTCTAACATACAAAACATTAACAATACAGAAACGTGATACAGTACAAGAAACTTACATCTGTTTTAACATACAAAACATTAACAATACAGAAACTTGATACAGTTCAAGTAATTTAATCAGTTCTAACATACAGAATATTAAAAATACAGAAACGTAATATGATACAACTTAATCTGTTCTCATATACAAAAGAGGGTTTATTATAATGCACACTGAAAAGGCTAAACAGGACACAGTAGCTGATCTGGGTATGAATGGTCAAAGTCTTAGGAAGGAAAAAATGTTGTAGGAAAAGGAGTATATAAGTGTGGTGGAAGAGGATGCAAACAACAGTAATCACAGGTGAGGATGAGGAGGAAACAAGTAAGAGAGAGAGAGAGAGAAGGTAGAAGAGTGAAGGAGTCAACGGTTGAAATGGGGCATGCATATAATTGCGTGTGGAAGCACCATGTTGTTTTGGCAACACTCTCTGCAGGGAGTCTTCTCATAAAGCCCTGTAGGCATCCATTAATGTATGAGCATAAAATAATATAGATGAAGAACTTGAAAGAAGAATTAAAAATAAACTATAAGTGAATAAATAAAGATGTGAAATTAGGCATATAAAAAAACATGACTATTCTAGTGGATTTCTATGAAGAGTTGAAGGTATGTACGTATTTCCATTTGTTAATTTTTAACATTATATTGCACTGTATGTTGATGATAATAGATAGTTAGTGATATAGTAAAGAAAATGGAAAATAAAATATAAATATTTACCATTAAACAAATTTTGAGATTCATTTATGAGATTCTAGAGATACAAGTGAAATGTTTTGTTTTTCTGTAATTACAATCTTTCAGGAACATTCTTATCAAATTTTAAACAATTTCATTCACTAGTTATATTTTTTGGAATGAAATATCATGAAAGTAACGTTACCTCCTAGAAAAATTAGTAGCCAGCAGTCATAGGGTTAAGGTCTCAGTCAGGCACTGGAGATGGGCGAAGAGAATGGAATGGAACAGAGTCATTTGTATAACTTATGCTGCTTGCCAACTAATATATTGTATTAGTTACTTGTATAACTTATGCAGGGGCAGGGATGGTAATATCCCCAACAAATAACAAGAAGATTGAGGATGTGGAAGTAAATGCTTGTCCAGCATACAAATATCAGAAGTCATACCCCACAACTAGATATGCCTCAATTAGAGAGGGAAGTATCTGTGAAGGGAAATCCAGTTTGAGTAATTGAACACCAGAAGGAGTATTAGCACAGTTCAGTCACCATGACAAGCCTTTGAGCAGAGGCTCAAAAATGATAACAATGGACCTCTCATGAAAGAAACCCTTAGGTTTGCAAGGACCACTGTAGTAGATACATGAGTGCATTCCCCAAAGGAATGAGGTGTTTCAGGGAAGTCAGAGTCCCCAAAAGTGAAGTGTAAGACCTGGTTAACAGGTATGTAAGAGCTCACACATGAAAAGGAAAAGGCCAAACTAAGTTGAGACAAGAGAGGAAGAAAAGGCCCAAAAGTACCAAACAGTCAGTGGGTGTGAGAATGGACTAAGCTCCCTAGAGAAGTTCCTCAATCCAAACAAATAGTCAACTGTAAAAGAAGGAAGGTTGGAGAAAGGGAAACATCCAGGAATGGGCTAACAGAAAGAACTAGTCCAAGAAAAGGAATGCCAACCTTAGGCTGTGAATGTGACAAGCAAAGACCCTCACAATATCAATGAAGACAAAGGGGCTGATGCTAAGTCAAAGGAAAGTGCAAAGATTGGGAAAATGAAACATAGTAAACAAATGGAGAACAGATTGAGAGTGATGTGCAACACATTGAGGAACTACAGAAAGATCATAGTTGGGGTTGGAGAGAGGAGAAAAGGAAATGGGAGGAAGAGCAAGGAGAAGAGGAGCAATGAAAGATACCAAGATGGAGAAACGAAAAACGACTGATGGAAGAAAATGAGACCAACAGCAGGAGAAGAGATAAGTACACACAGACTTGTATTTGTGTAATAGTCACTAAGAGGAATAGTGATGAACTAGATTTATAGTAGAGGGAAAATGAGAAAAAGAGGAAGGCCTGGAATTCAGAACGAGAAGGTTAGGAGGAAAATTATCTATAAGAGGAATAGGAGTTAAGGGTAAGGTCGAGTACTAGGAATAAATCTGGGAAGATGACGAGGACACAAGTCGTACAACATCAGTCCAAGTCATTACGAAGAAAGGAACATCATTGAAGACATCCAGGAAGGCATCCGAAGCATGAAAAAGTGAAAGAGGGTAGAGAGAAAAAAGACAATAATGCAAAAATGGGGAACCAGAAATTGAAATAGAAGTTAATTCTCTCTACATGGGCTCAGTCAAATTGACTAAACATGTGACCACTTTGTACTCGTTTAACCCTTCTAGTACGGGTGGGTGGATTCCACCCAGCCTGTATTCCCCCAAATAAACATAAAGCAGTTATACTGTTACCTTTTTAATATGTATACGTATCTTCACAAAATTGTGCAGCTAATCAGTAAACATTACCACGCTTTTGTACACAAAGTATCAGACTTTTAAATTAAATTTTAACATTTCTTCATCAATTATTTGCTCGTGCATTTTTTATTTTTGAATGCTGAATATCTAACATGCAAAGTAATTTTGATTTTAAGGTTAAAAATACTTCTATGCAGCAGAAAATTATCAAGTTTCACATGCAAAATCTCTATAGCCTTCTAATAACCTCTAGATAATTATCAAAATTTTGTTTACAAAATCTTTTATATTTTTTCTGTTATTTTCACTATTGTATCTCTGTATGGGTTTAGTTGAATCGACCGTCCTCCTACCACCATAAAAAATTAAGAAAAATATATAAATTATTCTTTATTCATTCTAGAATGACTACAAATTATAACAAGAAACCACAAATGTTTAGTCAGAATAGCTTAAATCTCATAACATTATACATATATAAAAATTTATTCTTATTTTATTGACCTTTCAGCAGTGTCTGACTAACACTACAGAAGTTGAGTTATGCAATGCACATCATATACAAGAATATTGAACCATGGCTGAAACATCCCTGAAAGTTAACAAGCCTCCAGAAATCATAATGAAAATAAGGTCTAAGTTTGAACAACATCACTCACTCAGGACCAAGTACAAATCACAGTCATTCGAGAATTAAGGATAAAAATGAAAGCTTTTGAAACTAAAGTTTCATTAATGATGCAAATCTCAATAAATTCAACTCAGAGACAAGGAGAAAAATGAAGTTACCATAAGTGCAAGTAGATAGAGGAAATTGTGCATGAGGTGTGTTGCGCTTCTGTAAGGAGAGAGCATTTACCATATCATGACATCATCATGTACCAGCAGAATTCACATGAAATTAGGTAGGAGTTCCCTCAAAGCTAGTAGCATGCAAATCTCTGGTAAAAAAACCATGCTAATAATATATGACATCTCTGTTACACAGAAGAGATCAACAGAGAAGAATATGATGTTAAAACAGTATTTACCATATCTCATTCTTTTTACACAGAAGAGATCAGAAAAGATTATGTAGTAAAACAGTATTTAACATATCACGTCCTTGTTACACAGAAGAGATCAACAGAGAAGAATATGCTGTTAAAACAGTATTTACCATATCTCATTCTTTTTACACAGAAGAGATCAGAAAAGATTATGCAGTAAAACAGTATTTACCATATCACATCCCTTTTACACAGAAAAGATCAACAGAGAAGAATATGCTGTTAAAACAGTATTTACCATATCTCATTCTTTTTACACAGAAGAGATCAGAAAAGATTATGCAGTAAAACAGTATTTAACATATCACATCCCTTTTACACAGAAAAGATCAACAGAGAAGACTACACTGTTAAATTGTAACACAAAAGAGATGAAGAAAGAAGATCATTTAAACAAATTCTGTTACATCCAAAAAATGTTTTTTTTATATTATAGTTCTACTGAAAAGTTTGTTGAAACAGAGTAATGTGAAAGCTAAAACTTGCTTTGGAATCTGCAAGATGGCCAGAAGTTCAGAAATCCTTTCCACAACTATCCCTCTTATCTTGTGGTATTTTTCCTCTTCTTCCTTAGATAGCAGAAGCTGTTTTCTGACTTTACTTAAGCACAGAATAACCCTTGGAAGCAGGTCTTGACATCTTGTTCCTAACTAACAAAAATGTGACAATAAAATAAGCATAAGAACATATAAAACTAAAGATACAACATTCAAATAGACATTTTGCTATTAAGTATGCTGGCTAGAAATTTTCTAGAACAATCCATTCATTTGCATACGTAAAGTAAACTGATCACTTAACATGTATGTTAACTGTTTGGTCCTTACAACTGGTGATGTACTTTATTTCATCAATAGTCTATAGGATAACAGGTAAAATGAAAGATCTCTCAATACTTCAGAGTGGCATGACAGTAACAACAAAAACCCTAAAATATACACTTTTACCAAAACTACAGAACGTGTGGTTAAAGTAACAACAGAAACCCTAAAATATACAATTTTACCAAAACTACACAACATGTGGTTAAAGTAACAACATAAATCCTAAAAAATACACTTCTACCAAACTACACAACATGTGGTTAAAGTAACAACAAAAACCCTAAAATATACGCTTTTACCAAAACTCACAACATGTGGTTAAAGTAACAACAAAAACCCTAAAATATACGCTTTTACCAAAACTCACAACATGTGGTTAAAGTAACAACAGAAACCCTAAAATATACACTTTTACTAAACTACACAACATGTGGTTAAAGTAACAACCAAAACCCTAAAATATACACTTTTACCAAACTACACAACATGTGGTTAAAGTTACAAAAGAAAACCTAAAATATTGTTGTGTATCTGCTTGTTTGTTAATTTCCGGATTAAATTCTTTCAGAGAAACTTTGGCGATACAAGTCGCTTCTTGATTAACCCAGTTTATTCTTTTTCGATACAAACTTTAGTACACAGTAATTTCACAATCAGTACGTTTCTCGTCACTTTAAACTTAACTACTTTTATAATACACGCTATAAATCACAGTGATTCAAAATATCTATAACTTCGCTTTGTACGAGTGCAAAACATTAGCTCAAAACAGAATCGTAAATTACCCGGAACTCTCTTCATTCCCACAGGACATTTCTTCTTTTGTACTGGTCTCCGTCTTATTAGCTTCCATGGGATTCATTTGCTCCATCAGAAAATGTCCCATTTTCTGTAGCAGTCACATCAGTGGTAGTAACTTCATTAACGGCTTCACTGTTTTCCTTCTCAAAACCGAGTATAGTTTCTTCTTCGACAGTGGCTTTTTCAGGTGACACGTCTTCAGCAGCGTTATTTGTTCTGTTGTTCATTTCGTTCCAACTGAAATGTCCTGGACCGTGATGATGCCAAAGCCTGTTGGCATACACCACCTTCGGTTTACCTCGCCAACCACATTTTAATCAGAAAGTCACGTCTGAGAGATGATCCACTATGTCATATGGCCTTCCCATGGAGAAGACAACTTAGGAGACTTCCCTTTGGTTTTCCGGGGATTATACAACTACACCTTGTCTCCTGGTATAAAGCTGACTTCAGTAGATCTCTTATCATAACATTGTTCATGGAATCAGCAAACGTTTTTAAGTTTGAATGCACATGATGAAGAATATCATCCATCTTTTCAGATAACACTTTTACGAACTCTGGCACATTTTCAGGCAACTCTTCGTAAAGTGGGCATCATGTTATCAGGTCCACTGGCAACCGAAGTTCCCGACTAAACATCAGCTTTGCTGGAGTGTATCCAGTGGCTTCATCCTCTGTTGTTCTATAGGCCATCAACAGTGGAAGGATTAAAACATCCCAGTCATCTTGGTGGCTATTACAAAACTTTGCCATATCCTGTCCCAGTGTCCAATTGTACTTTTCTACCATCCCCTCAGACTATGGGTGAAGTGGTATTGGCCTAGTCTTTCGTAGGTCAAACAACTTGAAGCATTCATGGAACACAGCTGATTCAAAGTTATGGCCTTGATCCGAATATAGTTTGTATGTCATATCAAATCTGAAGAAGAAATCACTAATAGCCAAAGCTACAGTTGTAGCTTCCTGATTTGGTACTGCATATGCCTCAGGTCACTTGGTGAAATAATCCATCAACACACAAATGCACCTAGCAATATCAATGGCTACTCTTTCCATTGATGCACCAACATGATATAACTTCATTGGGGCATGTTCCTTATGCTTTGGTCCCCTTTTTTGCACAACATGTACTGCAGGTCCTGCACCATTCTTCCACATCTTGCCTCATAACTATCCAGTAAAATCTCTGTCATAGGTGACTCAATGTCTTCTTAACTCCAAGATGTCCTCCTGTTAAACTATCATGGGATTGATGCAGCACAACTTCCCATAACTTTCTCGGTATAATTGTTCGCCAGGTCGTCACTTTCCCATCTGCAGTTTCCCATCTCCGAACAAGAATACCACCTTCAAGCTTCAACTGGTCCCATTGTGCCCAATAGTTCTTTGTCACAAGACTTAAGCTAGACACCTTCTCCCAAGCAGGGTGCAAAACACTTGCTTGTAGAAAATCAATTATTGGCTTCAAATATTGGTCTTTCTCCTGTTCTATACCTGGTTACACTTCACCATCATCAACTCCTTCAGTCACTTTGACTTCAGCTTGATGGCACCTGGTTAGTTCAACCTCTCTTTTGCAACAATGTCTGCAGTCTTTTTGCAGGGTCCTTGGCTCAGTCTGTCAGCATTTCCATGAGATTTACCTTCTATGTATTCAATATCATAGTTATACTAGTCTATCTTTTCGATCCAAAGTGCCAGTTGTCCCTCTGGGTTCTTTAATGATCTTAACCAGCATAAT